CTTGTGAATGTCGTAATATTTGTTGTTTTTTTAAAGCTCCAGTTCCTGGAGTCAAGTGATTATGTGAGAATCTCAGCTTTCATTTACAAATAAAGTGTGTTTCTAGCCCTCACTGCTGTGGAAAAAATGTGACACAAATGTATCCTGAAGGATGTGAAACCAGAAGACAAATGAAAAGAATTAAAACTTATTTATTTATATTTGTAAGCCACTCCTATGCTTTCTTGACTCATGATTTTTGAAATGTTGGGGTTGGCTCTGTGTGTGTGTGAGAGAGAGAGAGAGAGACAGGGGTGGTCAAAGTTCTTCCATGCGCCATTTGTTTCTGCTGTGGGAGAAGTGCAAGAACATTGTATTTAATGAGGCTTGGTTTAACCTCCAGCTGTGAACACGGGATTAGTCATATTCTGTGCTTAACCAACTTTTAAATAATTTTATTGGAAGCCACTTTTATCTGTTTATGGAGACAGAGATTGAAAAAGGCCAAATCACAGTATGAAAAGCTATGAAGTGGTAATATCCTATAACTTTATAACGCATAAAGAGGTGCAAATCACACAAATCTCAATGGTTAAGTGTGAAAAAATTCAAAGAATGGTACAGAAAAGCTAAGGATTAGCTTGAAAGAATTCAAGATGAACATTTCCAATAAGAATTCAGGGGAATGTACAGAGAAACATCAATCTCTGCTTTTTCGTGCGCAAGAGAATCTTAATCCTTGTGATGTCTCACTGACAACATTGGACATTGAAGTTGGCTAACCGTGTGTCCCCACAGTCTCTCTCAGATGTCTCAGTCATGACTTGCAGAGATGTCCTATAGGGCTGGGAAGAGAGCAAATTCCAAAGCTGGTTGAATTTTTATCATTGGTACATTTCTTTTTAGGGGAAAAAATGCCTTTTTGACCAAACTGAAAATTGTTGTGGAAAATTTAATTTGCTTTTTCAATTAAAAATTAATTGAAATTTTTGGTAATGATATTCCTTTTCCAGTTTGGCTTTCAGTACAAATTTTTGGTTTTCGAAAATGAATTTTTTTTTTACCAAAAATGGTTTTCAAAATGAAGAATTCTTAGCTTTCCAGTTTGGGTCGTTCATAAAATAACGGCAACAAAAACCTTAAGAGATTTGTGGGAAAGTAACAAAAAAAAATTTCAAAATATCCCATGAAAATTCATCATAATTTTTTTGGCCGGCTCTAGCTAATTCTCTCTGGCCGTTCATGCCCCAGTCAATGGGCTCAATTCTCCCCTGCATCTGAGCTTAGTTCATGTAGACATGGTCCCAGCTTTAGTTAGAACAGCTGAGGGGTTGGTCTAATTTAAACCAGTGGAGAATCAGCTCTACTCCTTCTGGCCTTGGAATCTATGTTCTTGCCCCCCCACTGCCATATCCATCCCTTTCCCAGCACACCCTCATACTGGGGTTTGGAGACCAGCGTAGTGCAAGTGTCGGCTTCACTGCTTCTGTTGAGCTGATACTTGTGAGCGGTTCTCCTCTGCAAGACGAATTCTCCGCTGGCCAATTTTTGGCTGGAATCCATCCGCTTTGCCCCACCTGAGTGGCGCAAAGTGACCAAAGGAGGCTGGAGATTGTGGCCCAACAAGACTACTCCCAGGCTTAAAGTTATACATGTATTTAAGCACTGGGCTGAATCGGTGCCTCAGTCCTTGGCGTCTCCGTGAGTTTGCCAACAAAAGGGGCTGATTGTGGAGCTGACTGTTGTGCTGCAGGCACCTTCCACTGGTCTGAGACTCCCAAACTTATTGCATACAAGCCACCGACCAGCCGCTGAATGGCAATGGAAACAACTCCATTTTGTATTATAGTACTTATGGATGTAAGAGACTAAAAGCCCTGGATCTGAGCCCCAGCAACAACCTCAGCTGTTCCAGTCCTTGGTCTCTCTCTCTTGAGCAAAGATTGCCAGTTGGGTGATTATAATTATATACTGTATTTTCATTTGAGCTGATTACTTGAGCCTCACATGAGTTATTGGACTGATCTTTCTCTGCTGGTATAAAAATGAAAAGACAAGACAACCATTCTCGAATGTTAATGATGTATTAAAGCTCCTTGTCTCCGTTTCTACAGAGGACAGAGAGCATTGTTACTGGCACTGATATTTATTGCTTATACCCCATGGAGATGCTGATAACAAATATTTTTAAAATAGTAGTTTTACATGCTGAAATCTTCTGCTAAACCTCTTATTAACAATCTCCTGCTATTCATTAATGCTTCCCCACAGCATTATCTCTCCTCTGTCAATTAAGAACTCCAATTTTCAGCACTTTAACCAAATGACATCTGCTGCTTTGCCTCTTCAAATCTTCATTTACCACTCCCTGTATAAGCAAAAGCCAGTGAGATGTACAGTCTGAAATCTACAGGCCTGATTCTGTTCTCACATTATCAGTTTTTGCACCTATTGACACAAGAGGAGTTACTCCTGATTTGGTGTTGTGTAAGGCCAAGTTCCAGTCATATCTTAAAAATCTAAACACACACACACACACACACACATACACACATTCTGTATTGTTCATTGGAACCCCAGCTGTTTTCTGTGCCACTTTTTCTCAAAGGCCCCTAATGCATCTTGTTCCCACAGTTGTCATCTTGTTCCAGAAGAGAGAAACACAAAAGGATTTTGGGTGTGTCACCTGTGAAATTAACTTGAGCTTCCCCAGTTGCCTACTGGATGGAGCACTGGATGGGGATTCAGGAGACTTGTGTTCTTCTTCCCTGCACTGCCACTGGCCTGCTAGGTGACCCTGGGCAAGTCAGGTTACCTTCTGCGCTTCTGTTTTCCTGTCTGTAAAATAGGGATGATAATAATACCGACCTTTTCTAAAAAGCACTTTGAGATCTGCTGATTAAAAGTGCTATACGTGACATAGAAGATATTAAACAGAGGGGTCTTTAATTTCATCCCTTAACTTTCCTTTCATCTGCAGTATTTTGAGAAGTGTCTCTTCTTCAAAAAAAACCCCACCCAAACAATAAACAGTCAGGTCCCAAAATACCAAATGCTCATGTAAATGTAAGCACACATGAGCAGTCCCATTGAAACTAATGGGACTGCTCAGATGTTCTTAATGTCGTACATGTGTTTTGCTGAAGCATGATTGGTAACAATATCTTTAATGGCTGAAACTTAATTCAGTTCTTAGTTCATATCATAATGGATTGTAGGGGAGACGGTAGGATGGGAGCTGAGGAAGTAATGGCTTAGGGTTTACTTACTGGCATTTAAAAATGCAGCTGCAAAGCACTGAAGAACTGCCTTGAAGCCAGATGAAGATGTGCAGCCTCCATTTAGATCCTGACCAAGGATGCTGATGGTTTCAGCTACTGGAAATACCAAAAGCAATATGGCCAACCCTGTTTGTGCCATCTTACATGTGCTGGTGTTTTGTGGCCAGAGTATAAAATCCAGAGGATTGCTTCTTGTGTTCAGGTCAGAGGCGCTGTGACCATGGGGTTTTTTACCTTTCTCTGCAGCATAGAGTGCAGGTCACTTGCTAAGATCGTTTGGGTATATCTCATCTAATCCATTCCTTGGGCACTGGTGCACCTCAGTCCCGTCTGTTCACTGCCGGCGGCACACTGTAATTTAATCTCATGTGGGCTGTAATACTTTAGACTAATTTTGATTGTTGGGGTTAGTGTGCAGGTGCTGTGTGGTATTAGTGGTCTGTGATGTACAGGAGGTCAGACTAGATGATCTGGTGGTTTCTTCTGACCTTAAACTCTGTGACTCTGTTAATCCGGATTTGAGAGCATTACCCTGCTGACAACCCTGGCCATCAACTCTGGCCGTACGTACGTGTGTGTGTGTGTGAGAGAGTGAGAGATCAATTTCAGTGGGAGTTGGATGGCTAAATACTCTAGTCAGCTTTGAAGATCTTACCCGTATTATGTATGTTCCTCATGTGAAGCTAGTTGACAACTTGTATGTAAAGCTTCTGTCTCAATCATCAAATTAAGTGTATTCTAGTCAAAACTGTATTCATAGGGAAGAGTCTCATCTCCCTCCACGCCCTTAATGCTGTGTAAAAGGTCTGGGGTGGTGTTGAGGACCCATAAAAGCTCTGTGTTGAACAGGTGGAGAATTCTTCTGGTTCAGATAATATGGAAAACAGCCATAAGACTGTCTTCTGAGCACCTCCTCACAAGCGCTGGCACAGAGAGCGTGCAGGGAAGGGCAGAGCTGGAGGTGGGAAGGGCATGTTGGGAGTGGGGTCACAGCACTTAATGTTGCAGGGATTCTGGGTAGTGCTGCAGTCCATAGGCATCTGGGGATAGGTTGTTTAGATGGTCTATGTTGCTCTAGGGGCTGCAAAGCAGCCCAGGATCAAGAGGGTGCAAAGGTGGCTTAACACCACCTAAATCACACTCCTTTTAAGAGGCGCAGCACAGAATGTCACCCCTCGTTCTTGTGGTCAGGCCTAGTGATATGAGAACATGGCCAGGAGGCAGAAATTCTTGGTTCTGTCCCCGCCCTTCCACTGACTTGCTGTGGGATCCTGGACAAGTCATTTAAGGCCTTTTTTTTTCTGATTTTACTTACATCAGTGTAAATCAGAAGTAACTTGACTGAAGTCAATGATGTAATGCTGAGATTAATCATGCTGAATATTATAGCACAGGTATGGCTATTGAATTCAAGAGGTATTCTTGTGAAGTAAGGTATTATTCAGTATAAGTAAGGGTATACAAATTTTGCCAATTTTGTCCAAGGTTCCCCATCTTTAAAATAGGGATATTAGGCTATTTATGCTTATTTGTCTGATAAGGGGTTCTGTGAATTTTAATTTATCAATGTTTGTAAAGGTCTTTGAGCTCAAATATTATCTTGTCAAAGCCTGAATGTTAAAAAGGTCCTATTTTAGTAATCTGTAATAAAGATTAAAGTTTACCATGACAATAAAGTGTCTTTTCTTTTTTATTTTAATTAAGTTTTAAGTTGTATAATATTCTTTTGTTCCCTTCTAGCTGACTGACCGCAACAGCTTGCCAAGAAATTTCATTAAGGTAGCAAGATCTAATACATTTTTAAGCTGTGAGTTTTTTGGATCTGTGGGACTGCCTCTGAGTATTGGTGGTGGCTGTTTGGTGCTCTGGTGGATCTTTCTTTCAGAGGCTTATGTTGGCAATTTCCAGTTGGCAATTTCCATTTTTAATCATCTGAATGTATTAAATGCACTCCTAATTATTTCTAACTTCGCTGCTCTGCACTGGTGATAAAGATATGGGTAAGTCTGTCAAAACTCAGACTGTACTATCAAAAATTACTATTCAAATCAAAGCCATTTGCCAGTGCGAGGAGCTCACAGCTAAATGGCTTCTGGACCAGTATGTGTCTGGAATAATAGCAAAAGCTTTCAAACTAAATCTTCCATTTAATTACCCAGATGCAAACAACTGATTGTTGAGTGTCAAAATTGAGGCAATTTCAATTACTAGAACAATTATGGTGCAGTGAATTGCTGCCTGTAGGTGGTAAAGTATATACACCACAGCAACAGGAAGGTGACTTAGATAATGTATTGTAGTACTGTCCATAAACACATTGCCCCCTCCCTAAATTAACCCTTACAATAGTCTACAGATCTTCCTCAGTAAATTGCACCGAGACACTGCAGATGACATGTGTTTCCAGCTTCTGATATCTCCCACCCTCCTTTCAGCTGTCAAATTTGAAGGAACTCAGCCCCTGGCTGCCCAGTTCTTCACCAGCCTCACTTGTCTAATCTGCTTCCTAACCTGTGTCCCCATATGTGAGCTCGTTCCTACCTCCTCCCAAGTTTCAGGGTCTTTGCACTACAACATAGACATGTTCTTTCACTGTCTTTTCTACCTAACCCTAATTCTATCCATCATTCTCTCTCTCTCACACACACACTCACTCACTCACTCACTCTCTGAACTCTGGCCCCAATTCCACCAACCTCTATATACTAGTTCCCACCCAGCGCTACAACCCAACCTCCCCACTCCCCACAGCTGCCTCTGTTACCTACCTGCACAAGAGCCTGAGCTAATCAGCTTCTGATTTACCCCCACCTCCCCTATTTCCTCCACAAATGAAATCAGAGTGCTTCCATATACACAGCCAATCAGGATTCCAGCACTCAGACTGCTAACTTTCCACATGTCCCCTGCCTGAAGCCTATGTTTCAGAGTAGCAGCCATGTTAGTCTGTATCCGCAAAAAGAACAGGAGTACTTGTGGCATCTTAGAGACTAACAAATTTATTAGAGCATAAGCTTTCGTGGGCTACAGCTCACTTCATCGGATGCATAGAATGGAACATACAGTAAGAACATATATACACATACACACACCTACACATACAGAGAAGGTGGAAGTTGCCATACAAACTGTAAGAGGATAATTAATTGAGTTATTATCAGCAGGAGAAAAAAACTTTTGTAATGATACTCAAGTTGGCCCATTTAGACAGTTGACAAGAAGGTGTGAGGATACTTAACATAGGGAAATAGATTCAATATGTGTAATGACCCAGCCACTCCCAGTCTCTATTCAAACCCAAGTTAATGGTATCTAGTTTGCATATTAATTCAAGCTCAGCAGTTTCTCGTTGGAGTCTGTTTTTGAAGCTTTTCTGTTGCAAAATTGCCACCCTTAAATCTTTTACTGAGTGGCCAGAGAGGTTGAAGTGTTCTCCTACCGGTTTTTGAATGTTATGATTCCTGATGTCAGATTTGTGTCCATTTATTCTTTTGCATAGAGACTGTCTGGTTTGGCCAATGTACATGGCAGAAGGGCATTGCTGGCACGTGATGGCATATATCACATTGGTAGATGTGCAGGTGAATGAGCCCCTGATGGCGTGGCTAATGTGATTAGGTCCTATGATGGTGTCACTTGAATAAATATGGGGACAGAGTTGGCATTGGGACAGGCCCAACAAAGAAAATAACAGAACACCACTAGCTGTCACCTTCAGCCCCCAACTAAAACCTCTCCAGCACATCATCAAAAGTTACAACCTATCCTGAAAAATGATCCCTCACTCTCACAGATCTTGGGAGACAGACCAGTCTTCGCTTACAGACAGCCCCCCAACCTGAAGCAAATACTCTCCAGCAACCACACACCTCACAACAAGAACACTAACCCAAGAACCTATCCTTGCAACAAAGCCCGATACCAACTCTGTCCACATATTTATTCAAGTGACACTATCATAGAACCTAATCAGATTAGCGATGCCACCAGGGGCTCGTTCAGTTCATATATATATATATATATATCTTCTTACTCTATGTTCCATTCTGTGCATCCGATGAAGTGGGCTATAGCCCACGAAAGCTTATGCTCTAATAAATTTGTTAGTCTTCAAGGTGCCACAAGTACTCCTGTTCTTTTTTTGAAGCCTACGTGGTGTTCTAGACCTTTAGCGTGAAGCCAAAATAATCGGAGTGAAATTAGCCCCTATGGAGAGGGTCAGGGCCTATAAAGCAATAAAGTCCCTTAATCATTCAAATGGTCCAGATGTCTTTTCCTGCCTCTGTGGATGGGGTGAATTTCACCTTAAATATTTAAATTAGACAAAAATCAAACCCTGAGCTGGTGGGAGAGTGGAGCAGACACTAAAAATGGAAATTGTCCATCTCTCTAGAGGTTGGGATGCTGGTGTGACATGTACACACTTTAGAGGAAAATCTTTTACAATGCTGTTGACAAAAATATAGTAGTATAGTATATTGCAACTGTTGAGTTTATAGCAGATCTAAGGATCCTTTCCATTTAGTTTTACTGCATGCTAAGATATAATTTCCTTTAAAGCTCTGTTACATAACAGGTGTAATACAGTTATGATATTATGACCTGTGGGTATCATTTAAAAGTGATCAAAAATCTTGGCTACCCTCCAAGTTCAGGAATCTGCATTTCTCCTGAAAGAATAGATGACACCACCAATGCCAGTAACACTTCAAGAAAATGTGTGTTTTAGTGGCCTCTTCTATTCTTGCAAGGAAAACTCAGAGCCTTGAATGTGAGGCTTAGCAGGTAAGTCAAAAGTAAATGAATCTCAGCTATTCTGTTTTAAAATATCATGCTCTGTGCCTAATTGGTTTGTGGTTTTGGATCTTCAATATACTTTGTGTGTGTGTAACATTTCCCGTTCACCTTTCATAATGCTTCTGCTCAGAACTTACAACAGTCTGAATATCATTTTCCAATGTAAAAGCTCTGCTGTTCGGTTTAAAATGAATGTTAGTGGACTAAAGGCCAAGTTCTGATTTTATACCCGTTTTACACCATTCCAAGGCTATTGGCTTTATGGAGTTACTCCTGATTTACATGAGGGGGGGAAGAGGGGGATAAATGAAAGCATAATCAGAGCCTATGTCTGTCAGGTTGCCATAGGAAAGTCCTTTTCATATGGGGGGGGAAACCTCCTGATGTAATGGCTCACCTTGCCAGGCAAGGAGCTGAGCCCACCAGTATAACACACAATCAGCTGTCTCTCTAACTCAGCATCAAGAAGTTAAAATGGTTGAAAGATGAAGCTTATAGTGCAGTGTCTAAAAATTATGACCCCCTGGGATTTCCAGAGTCTGTGACATTGTCTGCAGTTGTCCACTCAGTGCTTCCCAATCCCCTCCTGAATGGACTCCACTGACAGTAAATAAAAACTCCAGACACGCAAGTTATCATTAGAAGATGCTCTTCAACAGCACTGGGCTTCACAAGAGTGATGCTTCTTTCTGTTTTCCATGCAAATGGGACTAGCAAATGTCAGCTTTGACAGACTGTGGGAAGGTAAAAAGGAAAAAAAATTACCCAAGAGGAAAACAAACACACACAGACAATCTGACAGAACAACCTAGGGAAAAGGTTCTAATACTTCAGTAGCATGTGGACACAAATGGAGAATTTACTTTTTTTCCCCTCCTGTAGAGATCTTAGGCTATTTCTGCTGACGACAAAAGAGAAAATAGTATTTTCAGTTAATGAGCACTTGTATAAGCTCGGTTCCGAATGCTAATTCATTGATTATTGGAAGCTGAAAATGTCATTTTCTAATATTCCTGGGTTATTTTAGAACATAATTCTAATTTAAATAGTTCCCTAGCTTTACTAATCTTATACATAAATGCTGAGGAAGATCTGGGTGGCTGTCAAGGAAATTTGGGTCTTTCTCTGTTTAACTTTAATATAGGAATGGTCCATTTTATTATATCCTAGTGTATAGGAATTAGGTCCTATTTGTTAAAAGAAAAGGAGTACTTGTGGCACCTTAGAGACTAACAAATTTATTTGAGCATAAGCTTTCGTGAGCTACGGCTCACTTCATCGGATGCATTCACGCATCCGATGAAGTGAGCCGTAGCTCACAAAAGCTTATGCTCAAATAAATTTGTTAGTCTCTAAGGTGCCACAAGTACTCCTTTTCTTTTTGCGAATACGGACTAACATGGCTGCTACTCTGAAACCTGTCCTATTTGTTCTGTTTTTCCATCCTCTCTAGTAGAAGTTAGCCTAAAGTGTAACTAAAAAGATTATTTTTCTAACTTGCCTGAAAGTTCTTATCTGCACAGTTGGTTCAATATAGCTATAGCACTAACCAGACAGAAAGAAAAAGGAAAATAAATGCTTCTGCTTGTTACCCTAACCTTAAAATAGCAACATAAACATCATCTGTCTTCTTATGCTATTTGCATTGTAATCAGATTGAATCACCCTGATCACAGCAGGTCAAAAGTAACAGGTCACAATTTATTCTCTTTGCTAGGAAGAATAATAGGTTTTGATTCAGACTTCAGGTGTGTGATAATGGTTTTTAAAAGTTTATTATTAGAATTAATTGAACTTTGTCAAAAATTTGAGATTTTTAACAAAAAATGAAATTTTGTGAAAAATGTTCCCTATTTTTTTCACCCAGTTCAACTTCTTATTATAGTTTTATTAATGATTAGACCTATATTCTTGAAGAGAGAGAAACTTATGGTGTTAGTCAATTTTCACTAAGGTGTAACTCCATACCCACTTTTACTGAA